TAATTTTTTTAGAGAAAGAGAGAGTGCCATTGTGAGATTGAGAGTGCCGCCAGACGATTTATGCAAAATACAGCTGATGGTAAAATTATAAAGATTCATAAGCTTTTATCCGCCCATAGTCGTAAAAGCATACTAAGAAATTTATTTCGTTCGTACATGACCTTTTTGAAAATATTGTAAAATTTCGCAAACGCGCGTGCAGCTCAAAGTTTTCACTTTGCGAACGTTGCGGGGATGTAGGACTATTTTTCGGAGACGGACATTTTTACGCGCGCAGAGTGAAATAAACGACGAGTCTACGTCGTTCTGCACTCGCTATACGATATATCGTCCTTGTCTCGGTGACGCATCGATACTGCTCGAAATCGGTACGAAGAGATCGGAACATCGCTTCGGGCGAGACTAACCGATAAGGTTCGATCGAATGGGCCACCCTTTTGCAACTCTCTCTTTTTCTCTCCCTATTACGGTTTCCGCCACCTGGCAATTTCTCTCGCGAACCCGACTTTTTTCATTAAGCTCCACATTTCAGTTTCGCCTTATTATATATTCGTTCCCGACCATATCAATGTAAAGCTTATCGTTCTCGTGTAATTATAAAAATTGCGTGCCATTTTGTAGCATTTCGGTTAGATTGGAAAATCAGTTTCATCTCTGTTGGATTAATCGAAGATATTCGTTCCAGTATTGAAAAATGAAAAGAAAATTATTACATCATCTGTAAATTATCCATAAATGACTGAAACCGTTTTTTAAATATAAATAGACTCATCTTTTCGCGAAGGTGGTCCAAGAATAATTCTAAATAATAAATTCTAATCATCTTCCATTGAAAGATACGTCCGTCATATTTTAACAAATATAGTGTCTCTTAATTATTCGTATTTAGAAGTAAATGCGGTCAGGTCATAGTATCGATTAACTTTCTATCTTGTGTTTTGCTCCACCAAAGATCGATAAACTGCCTTTCCGAGTCGACGGCGTTCTTCGTTCTTCCGAATCGAAACTAATTTGGCGCGTGGCTCGAATTTCGATGATTCGAAGGAAGCTCGGAAGAAACGGAATCGCGGCGAAAAGACAGGGCGAAAATTTCCGGACCGACATTTAACGAATCGAGAGCATTTAATCGCAAATGAGAAAGGTGAAGAGGGGCTCGCGGTAATTTTCATCGCGCGCATTTTTCTCATCGTCCCTTGTCGTTTAAGGGGTAACTGCTCGGGCGAGAGGCGAGACACGAAAGCAGTTACCCTAGAAAGGTAAAGAGAGAAAGAAGAAATGGCGGAATACGAAAGCGGAATTTTCACGAGGATAAGCGGAACGTCTAGGTCGAATCTCGACCTATTGCAAGTCGGCAGGAACGAAGAATAGAAGACGAGGAGGCAAGAAATCTTGGTGCCGGGCGTGACGGATAACGAGAACGTTAATCACGCGTTATCACTCGCTCGTGAAGGAAGACGAAGGGGACGATGACGCGTCGACGTCGCGATAGTTGGAGAAAAAAATATAAAAAAGGGAGGGAGAAAATACACGCGTGTAAAACCCAAGACGTGTGTAAAAAGATTATATTGAGCCAACGAAACGCAAAATTTCTAAATTTAAAATATTCACAACATGTATACTTGGATCCAAAGTTTAATTGAATTATCGTAATATAATATTTTGATCAAGCTGGGAAAAATTAAAGAATTTAAAAAGAGAAAATCAATATATAAAATATGTTTCGAAAAGTCCACGCACAATCGAGAGCTTTCTCGACCAACATTTTATACTCGAAATTTTAAACAATAAATTTAACGTATAATTTTTCTTTGGAAATTATATTGTATTATTAAATTGTAACAACTTAGTTACGTTAAATGCAAGACATGAAAGCATGAAAAGGGAGTATAAAATTTGGTAAGTTAAATTGTGGATAAAGTTGCAAAAGCCAGCTACAATTTCAAACATCAAAGACGATTCTACGCGTACCGTAAAAATAGCTTAAACAATTCTCAACGCGAATAATTTACAATATTTCAAGAATGAAAATACAAAGCCAGAAGCAAGATTCAAATGAGTATGCCGACAATAAATAATGCGCTTACTATTACTCTACAATTGAATTTGATTTCATTATTGCGCGAAAGAGGCACTAGAGCGTCAACTTGCAAGCCTGGTCGCGAATAGCGAACACATTTTCACGTTTCAGCGAGAAGGGTGGAAAAAGTAGGAGAGGATAAGGGATGAAAAGTAATGGCGCGACGAGACTCTCGGCGCCGTTATGGTGGAGATGGCTCAGCGGATAAACTTACGACGCACAGACAATGTCCGCGACAGCGAGAACCTTCAAGTTCGACCCGGATATCGCGGGACACGTTTCGCGAATAGTTTCAAAAGTGCAGGGAATCGATCAGCGCGGGAATTAAAGCAAAGTCAATCGAACGAAGGAAGTGTCACGAGCAGATTAAAAATTAATCTTGCTCGAATAGTCTCTGTTGTGTTTGCGGATCTCGAAACAATATTCGCGATAAAAAATTATTTGTCATTTTTTTTGCATGATAGAGCGCATTAAGTGAATTTTTTTTTGCCAATCATTTGCTCGAATTCAATCTGATTATATATTCCTGGACAAAATTAACGCATAATTTTTTTTCACTTTTTCTTTAAAAGCTGATATTTAAATTTTAACGAAAAATTTTAAAGAAAAAGTGAAAACAAATTATGCGTTAATTTTGTCCAGGAGTATATATTGTTTCATTTATTTGCGTTTCGTGCACATTATATATGTCATCGTACGCAAAGTCCCGATGCCATATGAAGAAACTTAAATGAAAGATTTAGAGTACTTTTCAAAAGCGTACTAACAAGACACTTGCCTCGAGCTGGAAATTGACTTGCCAAGTGCAACTTGCACTCGGAAATGCAACGGTTATTACACGCTGCTATTGAATCCACTCGCGCGAAATCAATATCGCACTTCGACTTGTGTCGCTTCCAGCTTCTGCTACACTAATGCAGTTCGCCGTTTCTTGCGATTTCTTTATAGGCGACATGGGTCGCGTTAGCTACGGCAAAAACTTGGCAGTTAAGAAGTTAAAAAGCTCGCGGATATCCGGACGAGTTTATGGTACGTTCGTTCGACAAAAATTCCGAAGCGTTGTACGAGATTTAACGGCGAGGAAAACTCGGAGCCCTATCGAAAGAGAAAAGGGGAGCGTCGAACAAGTTTTTCCATCGTTTTTCTCAACCTTCCTAGAATCCTTCTTACTCCTATCTAATCCCAACTACATCGATCTAATTTCGCAACATTAGACGGCTTATGTCCACGAGCGATAGCAAGATTATATCGTTACCAGAAGCAGTATTCCGTGTCGCGTTAAACGACACTTGCCGTATCTTTGAGTTATCGGAAACATTATTTGCAACAACGAGAGTTGCTAAATAAGATACTTGAGAAAATGAGAAAAAGGTGAAAATAAAAAGGAAACCCGATAAAAATGATTACTACAAACAAATCTATTTCATAAATTCGTTAAAAAATTCGTAAAATGTCTCAATATTATCAAATAAAAATTAATTCGCCGAAATTTCGAAAAAAATTAATTCGACAGAAATTTCGAAAAAATTCCGATTGATTATTTAAATGAAAAAAAAAAGAATAAAAAAGAAAGATGAAAAGAAAAACGATAGCAAGGTCTTTATTTTCTTTATCGCGGCGTGCGAAAGATGAGCAAGATTCATCGGGTGTGCAATATGCATGATTATTCGCACAATGGTACGAATAATTTGGCCGACTGTAATTTGTACGCATGTCGGAGACTCGTTCACAATCCTAGTGCTGGGAAAACGTGATCCGCCGTTCCGATTTTTAATTCTTCGTGTATATTTCACAAGCCAGCGCGTACGTGAAAGACAGAAATATTGCGTGATTACGATAAAAACACAAGATCAAAATTACTACTAATTAATTATAAATTTGCCCTTGATCATTAGTAGATTTGATTTAGCCTCAGATTTAAATGTACTCGTCATTTATATTCAAATATAAATCGAGTATTGTTATAAAATGCTTTTCAAATAAATTGCTTAAATATGCATCAATGTATTGTTAGACAAATTTAATAAGATTATTCTTTTTTTCATTTTTCATGAGTAAGAACGATATCTTGTAAATTAGATCTTTGTAAATTAGCTCGCATCAGACATACACATTTATTTTGACGCAAATGAAAGTAATTGAATTTGTCTGCGTTTAAAATAATGGATCACGCTTTAATTTATAGACATTCGAAAGACAATACTTTGAAGAGAATCCGTGATAGAGCGGAATAATATAGGACTATGTGATCAAAGTTATAATTAAAATCTAATGTTACTAAGAACTCTCGACTCTCGAAATGGATTGTTGCCAAACACGCGATGCGATCGATCATCAATGGCGCATTAAATAACACATCGTCCTATCACAAAAGACGCAAAAAGCAAGCACGATCAATCCGTTTGTCTATCTTTATGTCTGTTGCTTTGAATATCAAATATATTTCACGAGAAAAACAAGTCTCGGCGTTCTTGCGTCTTTTATCCAAGATATTACGTAGGTGTAGACATCGTCTTAAAAGGAGTATATCGCCCTCAGCGACATATTTTGCTTTGCCGTCTATTCTCTTCCTTTCTTACACAAAGATTTCATTATGATAGAGTGAAATTTGCGAGATATCTCCCGTTATTATGCAGAGAATTAATAATTTATATAACGAGATACATAAAAAGAGGCTGCTTGAAAAAAATAAAATCTAGTAATACGTAACAAGGCTGTGAATAAAATCTGAATAATCTCATGTCTGGAGAGAAATATTTCATTTCTTGCAATTTTCTATTCCAACACACAATTTCGAAATTTACACTAATTTTCGAGAGTCGTTGAAATGAATTACGTCTATTAAAACATTAGCAGCAAATTCATCGGCTCTCGAGGTCTTTGAGAGCGATACAAGCCGAGTATATACCGGGTTGTGATTTACCTCGAATGCAGAGCGCAGCCGCGTTGCACCGTGATATAACTCGACGCTGGTGGTGGTGGCGGAGGGGCGAGATACGTTGGTGGTGGCGGTGCTGGTTCATGTCTGTGAGAATGGTTGTGCTGATGATTATGAGAATGGCTCGGGGTGCCTCGCAGAGTCCCAAGCAGATGGCGATGTGGCGTCGACTGCTCGCTGGAATCATCAACGGGAAAAAAGTTAGTCGGACCATCGATGTCGAGAGTCTCTCTCACGGTTATTCTTTTTGCCACCGGGTATATACCGATGGGATCGTACCAATGGTCGACCGTGCAGAAAGATGTCTTCTGTCGGTAACAACCAGCGCAAGATAAAATCAGATTCGCCAAACATGGCTTTTAATTTTAAACGGATAATTGAATCGCATGAGATAAAAGAATCACGTGAGAAAATGGCATACATTTATCAAGATGAAAAAATTATACGACCGCATCTCTTTGAATATTTTTTTGTAATAAAGGTATCTGCAGAGCAAATTATCATCTTAAATTTTCTCATTCCATTCTATAAATTTGTTTATGATAAAATAAAACATTCTCTTTTTTTATTTTTTCTCTTTATATTTTATATCAAATTTAATAATTGAAAAATTATGATATTTATTTTTGCCTTTCCTTTGATAGGTATCGAGATATTTATATATCTTTCTCAGAATCAATTTTTATACACAAGGTTTTAATTTTTATCCAATAATTGATAATCTGTTATCGAATCATAGTCGCGTATTTTTAATTTCTTTTTTCGAATCTAATGCTTATTTTAATCAATGCTGCGTGACGCTTTTCTTCTATACATTTTGTAATAAATTCTAAAGATAACAAGTATTTTATCGGCAATAGAACACAGATTCATAAAAAGAAATGTTTCTATCGAATGACGTCTAAAATTAAATTAACAATCTCATTATTGGTAAAAAAAATTTCCTTGTAATAAGGGAAACTACAATGCATAAAATGTCTCTCTTTTGTTATGAATTTTTTACGACGCGATTTGTTTTCACACCTGCCAGTAATTACAGAGGGGCGCTCGTTACATCCGGTCATAAAGCACCATCGCACCTGGGCCCTTTTATTCAGAAATTCTGGTGGGATGTGTGCATAATATACGAGTTCTTCGGCATTTGTTTGAGAAACATTTTCAACAATTTCATACAATTTTCTGGTTAAATGTAAATTTGCTCTGCATAAAAAGAATATATCCATTTCATTTAAACTTTAAAATATAAATATTAGATTATAAAACAAATATGTAATTATAAATATGTAATTTAAATGCATAAATGTCAACAACTTGCAAATAAATACTGTAAATCGATATTTTATTCGAATATTTAATTCGCGTTCTAATTGAAATATAAATCTTCCATAATAATCGCAAAAAATATTTGAATTTATCCACAGTGAAATTTATGTTATCGAGATAATAATTATGTTTGAAATTGCGATGTTTCATAAGTACGTGATTTTATCGTAGTAGCGCGTGAAACCGAACGTGAGACCGGAAGTGTCGAAAGGCATGGGTCTCTTTTATTTTATAAGTGTCAAGGACTCTTATCTACCCCACAGACTAATTTCCCCGTTTTATCAGACTATTTAGTCATCCGATAAAAAAAAAAGAAGAAGGAAAAAACACATATATCTCTGATACATGTATAATGTACGCAACAGTCTTCGCACAACAGGTTTTTTTTTCACTCTGAATGGAATGGAATTTAAAAAATTTCTTTTCGTCAAAACAACCAAGCATCGTATTTTGCCGATAAACTTTAATAACCGATAATGATTCTATGCAAAACAGAACTTTGATTGCATACCATCGACCCGAGTATACGTTCTGAAATGAAAGCGGGAGCATAAACTTCCAAGAATAGCGATGCTAGCGGGACAAAATGAAGACCGACGTGAGCTTCATGAAAGAGAATAATTAGATGCGCCGGCTGTTATCAAGATTCACGCATGTAACAGTGAATCGCTGAATAATTAGACGAGAGCGAGACTAAACAATACACGAGCGCAATCAATAGCAAGCAAGCACTCTTCTCGTTTTAGATTTCCTCGAGGCTCTTTTCAAAAATGTCATTTATATAACTTGATAACTTAAATACAAGATGTCTCGTTGTTTTTTTTTACAACTACTATTGTATCGTATCGCACGGATTACACATATATCGATCTTTTTAATTCTTATTTAAATTTTTCTAAAAAGCTATTTTTTATTTCATTTTTTGTTTCTCTGATTTTTTTTCAATAACTTTAATCGTCGTTATCGATAATTTTTGGATGTGTTTTTCGTACATATGGAATTTTCGCAGGGGAATTAAAAGTTTAAATAAGAATTCGCGTTTCGTTCAAACTATCGGCGAGTCTGAATCAATATGTAGGACGATTTAAAAATGCAAGTCCTAAAACCGCCATGAACACCGGTGTTCGCGACGTACGTAATTCAAGAGCATCGTGCAAGTCCTGAGAGAGTTTGTCGTCGCAAACGGAGTCACGAGAGAAGTGGTTCATGCATCAGTCGTGCAATTTCGTATTCGTATGTGCAATAAGTTATGTGAGTTTGGCGAAAGAAGAAAAGAATAAACGAGAGAGACGCCGGGTCGAGACAGAGGAGAAAATTGTCAAGTATTTGCGCGTATGAATGTTTCAAAGTGACGGCAAAGACACGCTTTATTCCAGACCGCAGAGCATACGCTTCGAACTTTACACATTTTACGGTCGAAAAATTACGACTCGCGTTATTTGCAGTAAAAAAATGTGCACTCTATAAGATGTAAGTCAAAAGACGAATGAAACTGCGGTATGAAAAATTTTTATCCTTTTCTGTAGCAATAATAAAAAAAATCCTCAGAAATGTGAATTGAAGTTTTACGCTTCAACAGTTGCATTTCCTGCTTATCGATTTTCACATGTGCATCGATATTTTTAATCATCTTTGCATACCACGGTCTAAAGAAATCTGTAGCTTACTCGCAAAATTTTTAATATGAAATACAGTATCGCAGTATCTTGATAAAATATTGAAAACTCTGCACATGTTGAAAAATTTAAAAAACCATCTACATGAATAAGTGTGTATTCCCCTCTTCTCCAACTTGTTATACTGCTTATGCTCTATAGAGAAAGAGAGAGAGAACAGATTATTAAAATTTTTTATCCTTACAAATAAGAATATTAATGGCAAAGAAAAGGAGAAGAAGAGATTTCGTTTATTCATTCAACGAAGGAGTCCAAAAACAACATTGCGGAAATATCAGGAAATACAAAATTGTTTACTTCCGATATTGCGGTGCAGCAAGTCTTTTGTAAGAGCATATCGCCGCGTGGCGGTATATTCCAAGGATCGGCACGATCTTTTCAGGGTCGATTCCTCCGACATCGGTAAAATCTCTCAACCTTAACGCAGCGATTCCCAACCAGCGGTTTACGATCCCGGAGAGCTCGCAAATACGCTCCAGAGAATACGCGATCAAAATTCTACAAAAACATGTATTGTTTTGGCGACGACAGCATAGATAATATATATTTGAATTCTTGCGACACAAAATAATTTTCGAAATGTCTTTACGATAAATTGCAACAAAAATATCTTTAATCAAAAATATTAATAATCGGTAGAATCATTCAAACTTTATTTAAATAAAAGTAACGTTGACAAATGTAAGACTTGTATTGAGGCAAATTTTTTAGGTTCGCAATTTTTAATTTTACGAATATAATTAAGATTCAAAAACGTTATACTACTCTAACATTAAAAAAAAATTCAATAGAATGGGGATTGAGAATCACTGCCACAATTAAATAGTCTTTGTTCTTTCAACTTGAATAGCAAAAAAGACATCAATGTATAATCAAATAAAAGTTGGAGCGATTATTAAAGAGGAATCAATTTTTAATTTTATCTTACGATATCGATAAGAAAAGCAATTTCGCAATAACATCTTTTGATATGGTGGACTTATTTCTCGTTCTCATTATTGATAATAATATCATGACTCGCACCAGATGATCGCGAACAAGCCGTACCATCGAGCGAAAATTTTTGCATCGAAACGATCGAACGGTGGAAAAAAAACGAGGGGAGAAAGAGAAGGTAGGAAAGTATGATAATCGGAAACTGATGGCGAGGTATCTCTCTCGTTCATGCGGGCATTGGCTTCCGCGGCAGATGCTGCCTGACTGGAAATTACCTTACATCGGTTCCAACAGGTCTTCCGATGTTTACGAACGTCTTTGGATCGAAACGGTACCGCACAAATAACTCCGTTTTTTCCAAACTTAATCCGACCAACCGCACCATGACGCTTAGATAGCAATAAAATTTATCTATCATCGTTAATAAATTGATAACAGATGCGTATCGATAGAGTTCAAGTACCGGAGATAAAAAATACAATGTCGTAAAAGTACACTAATCTTTCTTTGATGTGGCGACGCGGGTTGGATTTTTTTTCATCGAGTTTCAACGTGGAATTCTTGCGATTTATTAAAATCTTACAAAAAAAAATAGACGCGTGGTAGGAGGTGAGTGGCGTCGGTTTATAAATACGATACCGAAGGATCCATTTGGATGCAATTCATTGTAGCGTTACAAGTCACTTTGCTCGCATACGGCACGCATATGCCCGACGTTCGAATCTTGCTAAAAGCATGTTGCCAACTTTAGATACACACACAAGGAGACGTTCTATACTTGACCTTAATGGCGCCGCTCCAATACGCCATCGCCGCGGTGGTCTCCAAAGTCCCCGTGTTTTCTTTTTTCTTTCGCGTAGTTTGTATTTTTAATTAAACTTCGTTTCCCCGTCGTGTTTACATTTAAATCACGAAATTTTGTAAACACTTTGAAATCGACATTATTTCATGTTAGATCGCGGTCAAAGTTGATTCTAAAGATTAATCCAAACAATTCAATCATAATACGCGTCAATCATAATACCCTTTTTCGCATTCCATTCGTATTTACGGATCGTAATCGATCGTTAATATAGATTAGCCGCGCCGGAGCGTATCGACGAACGCAATCACGATATCTACATTCGCCATTAAGCCGGTACTCCAATCGGAATACTGCGAACCATGATTGGAATTTGCGCTATTGCTACGGAAGAACGTTCGCCATGCAGAATTCTCGCGCCGAAGAACCGCTAGACGTGT